GAGGGGAAGCGTGCGGCGGCTCAGAGCAAAGCTCTCTGAGGACTCGACAACCACAGTGGCTTTGTGTACATCACGAACGCCTCCTCATGGCAGATGGACCCGAGAACAGCCCTCCCCCCACCCCCCGCCCCGGCACATTCCCAGCAGATACGATGAAGTGTATCATCTAGAAACTTCTGAAAACCCATCGATGGAAGGAAAAAAAAATCCCAAACAGAGCCAGTGAGTGAAAGAGAAAAAAAAACAAACCCCAAGCCTATTCAAGGGACCTTGATGAGAGTGTGAACAACTCCTCGGAGACGCCCAGGGCAGGAGAAAGGGGCACGGCGCATGTAAAGCTGCGGGCGGTGGGGCGAAGCCCCAGCCAGCGCATGTAAAGCTGTGGGCAGTGGGGCTTCAGCGCATGTAAAGCTGCGGGCGGTGGGGCGAAGCCCCGGCCAGCACATGTAAAGCTGCGGGCAGTGGGGCTTCAGCGCATGTAAAGCTGCGGGTGGTGGGGCGGGAAGCCCAGGCCAACCAAGAATTCTACATCCAGCAAACACAGCCTTCAGCAAGAGCACGCGAGGAAGACATTTTCCGGGCACACGAGCATCTCCGCAGACGTGCGTGGCAGACCTGGCTGGGGGGACGTGCGCTGTCCAGCAGGAAGGAACTCTTCTCTAAGGACAAGCAGGAGGGAGGGGACGTAAACAGGCCAGGGGAGAGGATCTTGTTTTCTTTCCCTCTTAGTTTTTACTTCCAAGACAGCTGAACTGGGTGTGATGGCAGGGGTCCAGACGAGGCCGATGGAGCCGGGCCAGGGAACCGCCTCTGGGGCTGTCCGTGTAAGACGTCCGGGCTTTCCTGAGCGGAAGCTGCACTTCAGTGAAACAGCTACGTCCCGCACCCAAGGGTGCCGCGAAGGCCTGTGCGTCAAGGGCTTGTCCCCGCTGTGGTCTTACTGGGGCGACGGGAACCTGAAGGGGTGGGAAGGCTTCGGGGTTCTTCCCTCTTCTCTCTTAGGGGTGGGAAGGCTTCGGGGTTCTTCCCTCTTCTCTCTTACTTTCTGGCCGGGAGATGAGCGTGAAATCCCGGCAGCGCGTGTGCTCTCTCGGGCTTCCTGGGTGTCCCCCACCGCTGTCCTCATTTGATCCTCACAGGAGACTGTAATCCTCGCTGTACAGACGAGGAAACTGAGGCACGCAGCTACTCAGCAGTGGCGCTGGGAATTCGGACCCGGGTGGTGACACCCCACCGACTAATCACCTCGCTGGACGCCGGCTCCACGGTAGCTTCACCCCCTCCCGCCCCTCGGCCTCCCCAGCACTTGGAAGGAAAGGACGGGTCACGTACAGGCCTAAGTGGCCTTTATTACAACCATCGTTTCTAATTAGGCGACGATCACCTTGCTACGGACCGTCCGTCCGTCCGCGTTTGAAGATCGCCGGGACAGAGACAGGCACAGAAGGGAAGTGCGGAAGTTCCGGATGCTGGCGTGGCTTCTGCGTGTGTGCGTGCATCACGCTGCCCGGCCCCGAGAGCGGCCAAGGTGCGGTGGGTGTGTCAGCCGGCATGTGGAGGGGGAAGGGCTCTGCCCCAGGCCACGCTGGCCACCGGCCGCTCCGAGTCCAGCAGTCATGACGGAGAGGGAAACCGGAGGATCCTGCTGCTCTCCAGTCTGGAGGGTCGGGGGAGCTTTGGGGTGGACGCAGGTTAACCCTCTCACATCGCTGCTCAACTGCAGACCCCGAGGCCTCCCGCAGAGGCTCAGGTCAGCAGCGATCTTTCCAAAGGAGTTCACAGTCCCTCAAAACACGACCAGACCAACACCATGGCCACCAGCCGCCGCCACCCCCTAAAGCTGAGCGCCCTGCAAGCCGGGTGTCTGTTTGGGCATGCACGTTTGTCTCAAGAAAACCACGGCCTAGATGGTGGGTGTTTCTTCTTGCCCTTCCCCGAGTAAGCAGCATCGTGTCCATCGATTAGAGCCGATGTCCCTCCTTCGTGGACCCTGGGGCCGGCTGACCAGCTCTTGGAGCTCTGGGAGTCCACCAAGTATTTACTGTGCAGGTCAGAGAACGTGCAGCCTGCCGTGGGGTAGGGTGCTTTCTTTGTCACTGTTACTAGTACTATTATTATTAATTGTTTTGGTCAGTCGTGGGTCTTGAACTCTGGGCCTGGGCGCTGTCCCTCAGCTCTTCAGCTCAAGGCTGGTGCTCTACCCCTTGAGCCACAGCACCACTTCCAGTTTTCTGAGTGGTTTATTGGAGATCAGAGTCTCACAGACTTTCCTGCCCGGGAACCGCGATCCTCAGATCTCAGCCTCCTGAGTAGCTGGGATGACAGGCGTGAGCCACCGGTGCCCGGTTTATTCTTATTAATTTTAACTGCTCCATCCAGAGCACCGACAATAGAGAATTTCCCAGTTTAGTCGCACACTGTTATCGATTGGCTGCTCTGCAAAGCTCCATGACAGAAGGGACGGTGTGGATTAGCTTCCCCGCTCCTCTGCGCCAGCCTCTGCCCTTCTCCTGCCCACGGCAGGCCTCACAGCCTCCGTTGGAGGCGGATGTAAAAAGCAAGTTTGTTGCTAGACAGGCGCGGGGCTTCCCAGGAAGTCCTGCCCTTCCCTGTGCTGCACCCAATATTCAAAGAGAAATGGAGGCAAAGCAGAGAAGCAGGCAGAGGAGCCGGGACTATAGACCTGTGCGCTTGGACGCGCGGTCCGGAAGTCCCTGCTTTGGGGCTCTGCCCGGGGAAACCGGCACCTCGGGACGGGTGTGGGGTCGTCACCTGGTCTGGGGAGTGGTTAACGTTAGCATCGGCCATCTTTCAGTCACGGATGCGGTGTGGGCCATCTTTCTATGGCTGGGACGAAGCACCAGGGATCATCGACTCAAAGGAGAAAAAGCCTGTGCGTTCTGGCTCACGGTTTTCAAGGCTGCAGCCTGGGACCGCGTGGCCCAGGTGTGTGTGCGTGTGTGTGTGTGTGTGTGCACGTGCGTGTGCTTTGGGGCTTGTCATGAGGCCATACACCACGGCAGAGGCACGTGGTGGAGGAAGTCGGTTCACCTCATGGTGGCCAGGAAGTAAAAGAGAGAGAGGGGAGGGGCTGACATCCATCTTCCTTATGGACACGTCCCCAGTAACCTGACCGCCTCCCGCCCGACGCCTGGTCCTAAGTGCGCTGGGACTGCAGAGCAAAGATGTCTGGTGACAGCATCTGTGCGCAGACCAGGCAGGGCGCCGGGCGGTGCTGGGCAGAGCGGAGGAGACCCCGGCGGCAGCGGCCTCTGGGTTCCCAGTGGGGGAGGGCAGAGGTCAGCGGTGACACCGTTTGGTCTGTCTCTGACCCCAGGCCAGCCGCCAGCCCCTCCCGCTTCCCCAGAGCTGCCGGCCCGGCACCCCACGGGTTCCCATGCCACACAGCCTCCGGGCTTGTCGATTTGTCTTTCTTCATAAGACGTCTCCAGAGTCTTGGGGCGCCCCAGCGTGTCCAGAATCGACTCCCCGATCTGCACCACGTAGCCACGCTTCAGACTCGGTCGCGCGTTGGTCGCGGGTTGCTATTGAACCCTTCACTCTGCTCTCGTTTTAGAAAGCCAAAGCTCATCCTTTCTCTTGCATTTCTCTGCGCGCCGTGCGCACACACTCGCGCGGCTCTCTTCTGTAACTCACGGAGCGGGGCGGACACGTGGGCCATACACAGAGGAGCAGACGACCCCTGCGTATTGCTCCGGAAGTGCGCGCACTCCTCGCACAGGCGTTGTCAGTGTCTAGCCCGGGACTCCGTATTCGCAGCCCGTGTGGACAGCCCCACACGGAGAGTTCTTCGGGACGGTTCACAGGCTTGTGCCCCATCAGCTCGTGAATGGGCTTTCTCCACAGTGGGAAGGGTCTCGATGGGCACAGCGGCTAGGTCTTTGCATCACGGAGTTTCCTTGAAAGATGGCATTCGATGTTCACCTCCGGGGCAGAATCTCCATCCATGCACAGCTCCAGGGAGGCCACCTCCTCCAGGAGGGCTTCCCAGATTGCCCGTCCTCAGCACCCCACCTCCCCAGCAGCGGGACACCCCCAGCACTTCCTCGTGACCGAGCCGGTCACCCCTCACCTGGACGCCTGCCATGTTTTATTCTATCCGCCACGCGCAGGAGTCTAGTTCTGCCGCTGTGCTTTGAACTCGGAGAAGCGCTTAGCATCTGACTCGCTCCTGCGTCCGCTGTGGTGGCCGGTGGAATCTTACGTGACCTGAGTACCACATAGATCCTGCGGGACAAACTGACCGGTGGCCTGTCAGGCCTGCACTTTCCAGCTCGTGACTGGGAATCGTCCAGGACTGGGAACTCCAGGGGCGGTCAGTACAAACGCCGGCATTTAAAAAAAACAACCAGCAACTTTCTGACTCCTAACACACCTGGCCTGTTAACCCTTGTGACAAGAAACAGCGCACAGCGCACAGCACACAGCACACACTTCTTACGATCTACGCACTTCTTACGATCTACACGTTACTGATCCCTGCTTCTACACGCAATCAGGTAAGTCAGAGAAGATGGAAATGCCGGTGACGGGGCGCAGGTGGCCGCGTGGCTGGGTCGACCCACGCAGACGTGAGGGGCAGGAAGCACCCGAGTGAGCCGTGTGGGAAGAGCACGGCGAGGAGGGACCGCGGTGACACCCCGGGAGGGAAGGGGACATCGAGGCAGGGCCCGGAGGAAGGGAGCAGGCGCGTGCAAAGGCCCTGGGACTCCCGGCAGTACTTACTGGGGACTCCGGAGACCAGCCGCAGGGGGCGCAGCACGCGGAAAGCCCTGAGCGCCTTCACATCGAACCCGGCCCCCTTCCCTCCCAGGGCATTCGCCCCGTCCGCTTTGGTTGCTTGTTCTAAGATGGCGCTGAAGAGCCTGGAAGAGAGCACACGGAGAGGCGGTCAGGCTGCGCGGGGCTCCCGTCGCGGAGTGCCCCGGCCGGGGTGGAGGCCTGCGGGGTTCCACCGTCCCTGCTCAGGGTCGCCCCCGGGCAGGAAGGCAGGAGGAGGCGCCTGGCCTCCCCGTGTGACGGCAGAGAGCGGACCGAGTCTGCCGTCTCTTTGGGGGGGCCTCTGCCTGCCCCGTGGGGTGCTGGAGGCCCCCCGCGAGCCGGAAGCCGCACACTCCATACCTTCCCTCCCTCCCGACAGCCCATCCCTGAGACGGCCTGACAGAAATGGACCTAGTGCTGGCGGGCAGCAGCGGGCTGCTGGGG